ACGAGCACGTAATATTTTAATTATTTGAGCCGCTGTATACACTAATCAGCTGATTGCCGTATGCGTTCTCTGGTGGTATGGTAGGGGAAATTTGGCCTCGGTACGACGGAGCGCAATCATTCGGATRCGCCAGCCGTATGCGTTCTCTCGTGGTACGGAGTATGGTAACTTATTAACTTATTGTAAAATGAAAGTATGCGACACTAAAATATACCAAACAGTCGAAAATATTCCAACTATACATAACATAATATGGCAAATACATACAGTAGTTACTAGTTTATCATTGACTGAAATCTTTATACTTGTATTGTATTATTTAATCTGGTAAATAAAATAAAATCCTAAAGCACATGCATATTATGGTGACTGATAACAGTGTGGTAGTACTATTAAAGTTAGTTGTAAGCTTCAAACTAAAACATATTTTTTTCCAACAATAATTGTAGATTAAACAGCTAAATTATACCTCTTATAAACAATTATATCAACAATTATCATCAATAATTTCATGAAAACAAAGTTATGAAACATATTTAGAGATCGCTCATATTCCTCTACAACAAATTCTAGACAAATATGGAAACAATCAGATTTAATTTAAATATTGTTTTATTTAAAAAACATACTTTTTACTAAATATTTCATTATAATATATAACCATTAATCATTATTCAATACACAGTTTACATTCTTAAAAATGGCTGCTAGTTAGTAGCTTGGTTAAAGTAAAATATAGATTTACACATAAATAAAATAAAATGAGGTTCTAATTTAGAAATAACTAGTACTAATAAACATTAAAGTACCCTCTATCCATCATCAGTTCCAGTTGATCAAATTAAATGCTTTAATATACCTAATAAGAATTTRTRAATTATAAACACATGAAATGCTCAAAATACAGTACTGATAAAGTTAGGACTGTACTAATTTTTGAGTCACTTTGAGCCCTGTTATGAATAGTATAGGTTATCTACCTATACATAACATAATCAATAATATTAACACCAAATATTTATTAATAATATATAATATATTAAAAACCAAATAATAATTAATAATATTATCACAAAAATACAGAATAATTAATAATATAAAATGATAATTTTGTATGAAAATAACTTTATAATAATCAACATTCATCAAATATTATTATAATTCTAAGTACTAAAAATCGATGGTTTCAAGAAATGTTTAAATAGTACTCCAAATTACTAAGCACATACAGAGTAGTAGATTAATATAAATTATATTACAGCACCAAAATGCATTTATCCAAAAGAATTAAAACATTTATAATTAAATGCCAGTATAAATACATTTTTGTTATGTTTTCAAATTATCATGTTTCTATTAAATAATTAACTCAATCAATACTTAAATTTAAACTTTGTAGCTTATAAATAATTTCTATTCTTACGCTGATAAGTTTTTAACAATTGTTAGTTAATAATGTATTAAAATACATTTATTAAAATATATAATAAATACAATTTATTTTGATTATTTTGTATCGTTCAAATTTAGATAGCATTGATTTCTAACTAATTTTCTAAATATCAGCACTGAAACAAAAAATTAAATATATTATTATATTATATTATACTATATATTATTATAAAATAGTATATTGGAATATAAATTTTATTAAAATTGAAAAATTAGAATGTTACACAATACAAAAACAGTTGAAAATTTTTACTTTAGTATCATAATACATTAATTTGGTTATAAGTTAGAAGGGTACATTTTTTATACAGCTTATAGTTATGGTCGRTTCCTAACAACATGATGACCATCTGTAGGTTATATATTGACGGAGTTGTCATGCTGTTTTAATGCTTGTTGTATGTAGACAATACTGGGGGAAAAAATCTTACWTTTTTTTTAGTTAGACTATCACTTACTTAGATTTTTTTGATTTAGTTGGTTTAATATCTGGTTCCAATGTACCGTCATCAATACAGTCATATCTATTTACAAACATGTTTGATATATTAAATTATTATTCAGACTTCAGAGTAAAATATTTGATAATATATAATGTATACACATTATATTAGTTATTACCTCTGTTTTCTTGTTTGCGACTTAGAATCATTTATCTTTTCATTCCATAATGTTTCTGTTGAAGAACATTGATTCTGAAAACTGGCCTTACCAACATCCATGAAATATTTATTACTGTCTTTTTCCTAAAACATGATTACATTTTATTATAAATTCAGCAATATACTAAATATAGTATATGAATATGGTATAAATGTCAATGAAATATGCTAAATATTAAATGATTAAAAATTTTATTAAGCAGATTTCAAGACACCTGCCAGTTTCATTTGTAAACATGATTTTTTATGATTGCAGTATGGTGTGGGTGCAAAGTTTCAGAATATGCGCTTTAAGGTTTATATGAGATATTTCTCATAGATTAAGACTATAGATAGCCAACGCCAAAGCAATCACTTGACGTTCATTATTTTAATTTTAATTAAACCCTTTTAGTGGTGCATGGTAATAGGAGCCTAATAGATAACTATTTCTCATTTCCTTCTGAAACCAAGCAGTGAATTGAATCTAAATTAAAATAATGAGTGTCTAATGATTGCATTGGCATCCCTTATCCATAATATATATTTTAATCTATGCTCAAACTTTTTGAGATACTTTTTATTAAGTTGATTGCATAGACATTTTACTCACAAAGCATTCATTTGATACCAAATATATTGACAGTCATAAGCCAACATGGCATGGTGATGCRGCCTATTTATAATTAATATTTGGTATACATTTATGTTGCATATTCAGCATTTATATTATATGATATACATATATATATACTGTTTGTACTAACAATAATCATAAGTATCATATTACGGTTGGTGGGGACTGTCCATCGGTTATTAGCAAGTAGAACTATAATGTACGTCATTACGATTTATACTGTTAACAATAAATGTCTATATAATACGTTTTTGTTATTATTTATATTAATAATGCATAACAATATATATGTTACCATTACGATGTTAACTAAGTAATAAYATAAATGACTAGCCAATATCATGAACTTCTAAGTTCTAACATTAATAGAAAATATTGTCTAAGCTTAAGCATTAACTGATAACATAGACCATGTGGTAAAAATCAAATATTTTGTTAACACATTATTTTACTATGACGGGAATAACCATAATTTCTAATATTGATAGACTATGTTGATAATTTTGTAGAGCGAAATATTTAAATTGAGTAAGAAATTTAATAATATTACATAAATTAAATCATTTATTTTCATAGTTTGATATAATGTACAATTTGAAGGTAAGTAAATACTACATACATGACGTTATGTAATGTGCTAGTAGGCATGCGTAAATATAAATCTTATAATTTTATTAATTTTTATAACAAATAAGTTATCACGATTTATATTGTACACCTACTAACTATACATAGATGACATATATTTTTGATAGACATATTTTATTTAATATATACCTAGTTTAGGTTCATCAACTTATTGGAGAAAGTACTTAATTGTAATTACTAATTATGTCTGATAATGTCTGGAATTATTGTCATTACCTATAAAATATTTATATATGCACAACAGCCTGAGAATAATGAACAGTAATGTACACTGTCTAATTTGATAGAAAATATTGTTATTGACTCGTCATTAACGTTAATTCCATAATTTACATTTTGGCTAATAACATATATATGTTATAATGCAGGGATGGGCAACTGGCGGCCCGCGAGCCTTTTTATCTGGCCCATCCAACATTTCCAAATCACAACATACAATTTTAAAGTTTATCGTCTATAATCTATATTTTATAATTTATATGTATAGTCTATAGGTATTCTATCTTATCGTATAATAATCGTTATCTGGGATTGAAAATCGTTAAATGTCTAAATGTTATAGGTAATATAGTTATAGTATATACACACGTATGTATATGTATAGCTTTTAACCATAGCTGTTTGTATCGACCTATTTCATTAGATATATCAGTTTCTTCGTATCTTCCGTGTCGCACTGTGTTRTTTAATTTATTAGCTTCGTGTTTTTGTAGTGTATAAAAATGTCTGCAAAAAAACGTAAAACTGACGAAGAAAAATAGAACTTTTAATACTTCGTGGGAAAATGATTATTTATTTATTATAAACCAACAATAAAAACCTCTATGTCTAGTTTGTTTAAGCGTTATTGCGGTCTTAAAAGAATATAATTTAAAAAGACATTATATGACAAGATAGAAGTTGATTTTGCCACGTTATCACTAGCATCACATTCTCAAAACTCACATTAAACAAGTACCTATATTTAGCAATAATACWATTTATATTTAATTTAATTTATTTTTTTAATAATCCTTTTTTTGCTATAAATTCACAACATTATAAACAAAATAAATGCTAATTAAAATGTATATTTTAAATGACCTTTTTTTTTATTGCTTTCTATGTTCTGGCCCACCGAATTTTAATTTTCTAAAAATTGGCCTTCTAGTAACTTAAAGTTGCCCATCCCCGTTATAATGTATGTAACCTAACCAATAAAAGCCACCTGTATTTTTATCTGGTAGAAATGTGAAGAAGGCATCTACATTTCAATTTAATTATATATTTATTATTATATAGTTATATATATATATATATATAATTCAATCACATTCAATCTATCTTATTTTGCTATTTAACAAATATTTAACATGAATGGCATGAACAATTTTACTTAATTAAATGAATACCATTGATACACAGAATTATTTATATGAATACTGACATAAATTAAAGCTTGTAAATAAAAGACCAGTGCCTATTTTAAATTTAAAAATGTGATAGATGGATTTTCATTTTCTGAATTTTTTTAATTTAGTCTATCGGATAGACTCTATCCATTAWGTTTATCTACACACTCCTCTTCTGATTGAAATACATGTTTAAATTAGATTAACTCTATGTACTAACCGCTTCACGTAAATGTGGATCATCATTAAGTGATTGTTGGTTTGATAAAAGTATGTCGTTTTGATCACAATAATTATTGGCAATGAAGACATCAGGATTTTTAGTAGAACAAGAATCTTTTTTTTTCAATAACTCAATCTTGTCCAACCTATGAAATTAAATCATTATTAAAATTCATTTTAATGAACAACAAAACCATTCAACAATGAAGGAWATATTAAAATGAAACATGTATATAAGTTAATTGCAAGTTAGATGATCAACTGAACACTAAAAATATACTTTTACTCTTCTTAAATCTTAAGATGATAACAAAACTGGATATGATGATAATTTTTTAAAACTTTTTGTGTTAAAAGGATCCTACACCTGCTGTGTTGTCAACATTTTACTCACGTACAACATGGTAAATTTCAACAATGTTTATCACAAAAATTTTGGTATGTAGTACGTAAGTCAGGCGGATACTAACATGTGAGTGTGACGTGCTCTTAAATAATATAGAAAAGTTTGAGTTAAGTTCAATTTAAAAATTTCTTTCCATATTCTATTTAACACGTAAATTATAATTATTTTTTTAGAAACTAAACATTAACAATCTATGACAAAATACATTAAGCAAATTTTATAAAATTATAAATTTTATATAATAAACACATTTATACCAGTAATTGACAAAAATAATAAACGAAAGAGAGGCAATGTAAAGTTATAATTCTATAACTAGAAATTATGAATTGGCAATTTCAATTTTATAAAAGATCATAGCATCAAGTATAAAATCTATTTAAATTTGAACTGTGTTATCTGGTATAGTTTTAAGAGACTTGAATTTATTGTAATTTGCTGAAACTGTAATTTAAYATGGAAAAATATATTAAGATATAATCATCCACATTTTAAATCTTTACTAAAATCCAAAAAAGTGCAATCTACAGTTTAGACATTCGACAAACCAGTATTCACGATGGATRTATTATTATAAATAATAATACATTATCTTTAAGACTTCGGTAAAAATTTAAATTCACATCACTGTATAATATAATAAATTAAATAATACTCGTAGAAGTATCTGATTATCACCGAAAAAGAAACTAATAAAATGGTAAACTTATTTTTAATATCCAGCTGTGTATAATAGTATAATGAATTATCATAGGCCATCATAAAAAAAAAAAAACCTCTAAATGTAAAAGCATTTATAACTGTATAATAAAATAACTCATTACTTATCGTATATAACAGCATTTACGCCTAGTTTTTTGAATTTATTGACTACATCCTTACAGTTATTATCATCTCCCCAACAAAATAGCGCAAGTCCAGCTTGTTTAACAATATCTATTTGTAATGGATCACGCAATAAATCTTCAGAGTGAACATTTACTCCCTAAAAAACAATGTTATTCTTAAGAGAAACAATTTTATATTTGTTATTTAAATTATTTGTAAAATATAAATGTAATGTATGTTATAGTAAACATACAAGGTTATTAGTTGCAGGTTAAATAAATMAATAATTAACAKAAATTGTATAATATAATTTATAAGTTGAAAAAGGCATTAGGAAATTTACCAATAAATCATGACAAGTAGCATGGTAAACAGCGTTTTGTATTGAATGACATCTAGGATCAGCATATGAAGGGTATCGGGTAGTAACACCTTGAGTTAAAAACAATACAGGATACCGATTTTGCTTCATTTTAAGCCTAAAAAAARTTATCAATCATAAATCATAAAATATTTAAAACATGTATTTTATAGTATATATTGCTATAAAAATTGGCTATAAATTTTAATAATTTACTATACACAGAATTTTAAATATTAAGTTGTTTAATAAACTATTGTTATAACATATACCTTTATATGCAAGGTTGTAAATGGTCTCTAGAAATTAAAATCTTCTAAAATTTCAGAAGAATTAAGTTGTCACATACAGACAAAATTGTTATTTTTTATTTAAGCTTCGGAAATTTAGGCCATTGAGCTGTAAATTGATTGGTACTGTTGGGTTTTGGGACTGTAGGTTTTTAGAACACTTGAGTGTTTGGCAGAATTTCTAGTGGGCACCCATAGATTTCTGCCATACCCAAGTGGGGAATAGCGGCCTCTCTTCAGACAATGTGACTGCCCGAAGAGAGGTTCCGCCTGTGACAGAGGTTTGAGTAGCAGCTGATGCCTTAGAATGCTTGGCCACTACATCCCCCTAAAATTGGYATATTTAGTTTTTACTTTGATTTGTATAGAACACCTAATTTTAATGATGAAACCTTTAAATATCGCAAATAAATAGAAATTAAGTCTGAAAACTATAAGCTTAGAAAAAGTGAAATTAATTTTTAATATGACTTAAATACTATAGTAACTTACATAATACAGACATCAGGATGAAAACAAGAAAACACAATACTTCGTGAACCTGCACATTCAAATGTGGTTTTAAGTATGGTGTCAACAAATAAATTCATGTCAAATGGATTCTCAAGTTCATAGGTTCTATCCTGCAAATGCAATGGCCATTTAAAAACAAAACAAATAAAATTAGGACCAACTGAAAATTATCGTAAAATACAATAATTTTATTTGTATATATTTTATGGTTATAAAAAATAATAACCTGAAGTTTCATTGTCCATTTCAATTCAATATTAAATCCAACACTGGTATCAACATCTGCAAATGCTTTTTCAAGTTTTGGAAAAGGTTGATAATCATTTCTAACATCATTAAGAAAGTGAGTTTCAGAAAGAGTATAAGGTTCTTTAATATGATAAATCTGTAAAAATAATTAAAAAAATATAACTTTAGAATTTATAAAGGATAATATAACTATATTTAAATCTTAGATTTATAATGAAAATGGCAAAGGATTTTAACAGGGATTTACACTCAAAGTGCATTTGYGCATTAGGAGTAATTGAGTCCTATTTATGAATAGGAAGAGTTAGGTTTTTAAATAACTTATTATTTCTTAAAATAGAATCAACAACTTGACTTTCCCTAATAAATTTAAAATTTTCCCATCAACTACTAGTTCTAAAATTCTTTTCTAATAATGTAATAGTATACATTTACAATTTGTTTATGTTTAATAGGACACAGTACTTACATGTATTTTCACAGTCTTACTATCATATAACATACAAAATATAATTTCAGAAATTTCAATTTTAAGTTTTTAATCATAATATTAGTGTATTAAAGTAAAAACCATAATATCTGTGTTTGTTTTTACAACATTTTAAACTTAAGTGATGAGTTATTTTAAATGTTAATTTGTAATTTATATACTCATAATAACATGCTTAAAAATTAATACATAATTTAAACCTTCAAACTACAGAACTCAGACTATGTTCTAACTCCAACTGTCTTTTATAAGTTTCATAATATGCCAATTCAATTTTATGAGGTAACAACATAAAATTGCAATGTGAGATTTGCATTAGTTAAATGGAGATAACATTTTCTTCTGGGTATAGAAGACTTTTAACCTTCCATGTTTGCACAGGGTAACTAATCTTTGGACTCAAATACAAACTTCATTATAATTTTCCTAAGATGATGTACCTATATAACTCATAATTTTATACCTGTTTAAATTGTTATCTAATATCATGAGTCAATTATAGGGTTTTATTAAACTTTTATACTTCTTCATTTTTGTTTATTTAATCTAAAAAAAAAAATTGAACTAGGAAAATTTTAACCTCTTACGACCAAATGTGAAAAATAGTGCTTGTTAATCATCTATTCATAGCACCATATCCATTTATTTTATCAATAAAAAATTAATGAGTAGAACAAAGCTAATGCTAAGTATGAAAAACTCACCAATTTTTTGAAATACACAAACTTAAAGTTTCTTGTTTACTTTTATTATCAAATAAATAAAATAGTTAATTTATGACTTTGGATTGAGAAATAAACCTGGTTAATGTATTTTTGAAGTACCTAAATATAATTGAAATATTTGTGCCATGAGAATTTTTATTCAAAATTTTATATCTTATGTATTTTTCTCATGTTAATTTTGATTTTATATTTTTTCAACTTGAAAAAGGTTGTAATAATAATGAGAAAAATATAAATTATGGTACTTTTTAATTGCGAATTGCAAGTGGTTTTAATGGTCATGAATAAACCAAATGAACAAAGTACGAAAAATATATAGTTTTTCATTTAAATTGTTTAGTTTAGACTTAAAATTATGGAAAAAAGCATTTAAACAAAACATATAGATTTAAAATAACAAGTCAGATAAAAAAAATCACCCTATGAATGCATACATGATTAAACTGGTTGATTTTTAATTAATTACCTTAAGTTTTTGTAATTGTTCGAAAGTAAAATCTTTCAACGGAATTTGAATCATTTCAACTTCTTCAGCTAAAATATTTGTTTTAGATTTTGTTGCCATTGATACTACAAAATCATGATAAATAATAGGTACCAAATCTTTAGTAAGTTGTACATCAAACTCAACCAAATCAGCCCCTTTATCTGCTGCTTCTTTCAATGATGCTATTGTATTCTCACGAATATGTGAACAACTGTGAACAAAATAGAAATTTATTATTATCATACTTATATCTAAAAAAATTTTATTCATAAATGATATACTAATTTATTTTGAAAATATTTTAAACATCTCTAAAAACAATTTTTAAGGTTAAATAATATAAAAAGTATACTGTAGAATAGTTGAAAACTTTTRTTAATGGTCACATTTATAAGAGGCCTGTTTAGTATTTAATATTCCAACAAGTGAGCTCCTTTAAAAATGTTAAATGTCTAGAAATTAACCACTTTCTATTTAGGTATATTATTTATAATATTACATGCAGCGCAATAATAAATTGAATGTTATGTATTTCTTTTATTATTTWTTCATTGKAAATGAATGTTTTTCTTCACTAATAAATATTTTATTTTGTTATTATACATTGTAATAGTACAATAACATGTAACATTGTAAAAATGTAATACTCGTTAAAGCTAATAACTTATGCAGCTGATGGTTAACTAATAATAAAAAAAAAAAAATGCAAGTGTTTTTAAGATTATGCACATGATCTAATTAGAATTACTATGTAGATCATATTTTAAATGCAGAAATGCACATATATATTTAGAGATTTATAACTAATAGACTTTTTTTTCTCTAGTGATATCATACTAAATGGCCAACATTATTATTGGACTGGAACTTACTCTGATAAAATATGTGTAAATGATGAACCTGATCCTCTATGGCCAATATCTAATGGAACATCGTTACTTTTCCAATCTGTCAATCTCACTTGTTCTAAAGTACATTTGATATCTTTAGTTGGCTTAATAATTAAATAATCAACTGTAATTATAAATATAAAAACATTTTAATACAAAAATAGTTAACTTTTTACATATATTTTAATTTACTTTTAATTTCTCCTATTGGCTTATGTCGAACACTTGTGATGGGAGATATAATTGTTCCATTACTATATTTCATATTACTCGGTAGGATGTGAGTGAAACCAATATGGAAAGGAGGTTCATCAGAAGATTTTTT